GAGACCAGGTGGGGCTTAGCTGGGTCCTGCACTCAGGCCCAGGGTGATGGCCAGGTTGCATTCTCCTTACAGGCTTGACTGGGGAAAGATCTGCTTCCAGCTGCCTCAGGTTGTTGTTGGAATTCATATTCCAGTGGTTGTAGAGCAAGAAAACTTGCTTCTTCAAGATTAGCAAGAGACTGTCTCTGACTTTGATGTTCTTTTTTAATGGATTCACTTGATTAGATTGGACCCTTCAGGGATCATCTCCTTTTGATTAATTTACAGTCAACTGATTAGGGACTTTAATTGCATTAGCAAATTCCTTTCATCCCTTTCATCATATAGCACAGCCACAACCTTTGTCAGATTCTGTAATGGTTAGTCTTTTTTTTTTTTTTTTTAGGTGGTACTGGGTTTGAACTCAGGGCCTTAAGCTTGCTAGACAGGTGCTCTCCACCAGCCTGTGATGGTTACTCTTGATGCTCAGCTTTATTGTATTGAGAAGTGCCTAGATCAGTAAAGCACACCTCTTGGTGTGTCTATAGGCTGAGGGCCCAGTCTGAAGTATTTAACTTGGGGCTACTTCTCAGCATTCGATCTTCCTAAGAAGGAAAGATGGGAACCTGTCAATACCCGCAAAGCTCAATTGCATATCAGGATGTTTTTCTTGGAACTAGGGGCATTGGACCTCAGGTAAATTTGAATCTGCATTCTTAGGAGGCCACTTACAACTTCTAAATAAGGGTTTTTGTTTGTTTTGTTTTTGCAATTTCAGAATCTCAGGGCCTTATGACCTATGCCCTGACGCAAAAGAAAGGTAAGATGGGCACAGAATGGACTTTGCAAGTTAAATAGAAGAACATGGAAAATCTGAGTAGAAATGAGTGGAATAGACACAAAATGGCACAACAGAGGGAGAGCAATGGCTACATTCTGGAAGGGAGGACAGGGGGTAGTCATGACAGAGGTCCTGAGTCAGAGCAAAGACAGGGATGTGAACCAGCTTCTAGTCTCTGGGGATCAGCTGGACTCCTATGGGTCTTGTTCCCACAATATTACACTGTCTTGAAACTGTAATCTTCTAGCATGTCAGGTGAGCTGGAGGACTGGAGGTGGGCAGGGGCAAAATACAGTCATTCCCTCTGTCTATTCTATATTGCATGCCTTTCACTTGCTGTCTTCTGCTGGATGCTGGGAACGGTCAAAAGCTGAGTGAACCCATAAGGTCGCCGTTCACAGGGAGCTTAGGGCTAACATAGGAGTTGGGAATTCATCAGATATCCTGGTGAGGAGCACAGTGGTCATAAGCCCAGTTCAAACCTAGGTACCTAGTGGCTGCAGTAGGTCCTTGAATATGGTTCAGAGTTCTAATAAGCAAAGAAAAGGACGTTGGGGGAGGCCTGACTTGTTTTTTCATGACCCCAAACTAGCTCTTGGTGATCTAAGTGTCCCCAACTTAGAAATTAGCTAGAGATGAACTCCAGCTTAGTGGTGGGTACACTCTGAGACCCTTTCATTAGAACCTGGGTACCCACGATCCTGTTCAAGCTTTGGGGAACCTGGGTCTCACTGCCGTCCCTAAATGTCCCCATACAGAGCTTTCTGGGAGCGCAGCCAGAAGCCCAGGCACACACCACCAACACACCACGGGCCAGCAGCCACCCGGCCCACAGCCAGGGTCACATGGTCACGCAGCGTGCCCTCAGGCTTGTGCTGAGGGGGCGGGGCATCCGGGGCGGGGCATCCGGGGCGGGGCCTCAGGCCCAGTGCGCACCCCAATTGGCTCTCAGGGCTGCTTCTAAGCCCAGTACGCTGAGGCGGCCAATTCCGTCGTGTCTCCGCTCTATTGGCGGGAGTTCCCGGCGGGTGTGAGGTGAGGACCTGCTGGAGCTGCTCTCGGTCAGGGCCAGGTTGGACCAGGCCCGGGGTCGTTCAGGGGCCGTACAGCTTCGGGAACTGGGCAGGACTGGCCTTTCAGGTGCTGTTGGGAGTTGGGAGGTGGGGCGGAGCGAGCGGGACGGGGAGGGGGGGGGTGGGGGGGGGTGGGGTGGGGTGGGGTGGGGTGGGGGGGGCGGGCCCTGCATGTAGGGCCTGTGGCACAGAGAAGTCCCTCATCCCTCAGGGGACCCATGGTGGTGGGGGTAGCACTGGCTCCGCCCCACTTAGCACCACCCTCGGCCTCTGACACCCCAGACACCAAGGGGGTCGTCGTCCAAGACGGGTGTTTGTCCCCGCTGCTGCGGCAGACGCCTCATGAAACGCTCCCCTCCATCCCCCCCCCCCCGTTCTGAGGGGCTCCCTGGGCTCCGGGCACGGGCCGTGGGCCGAAGAGGCCGTGTCTGTTCGAGCTGAGCCTCAAAGCATGTTTTTTGGTGGTTCTTAGTAGGGCACAGCATTTCAGACCAGGGAGCGGGTTTGCACTGTATCCCTGCATCACGGGCTCCTCACGCAGACGTGCACAGGGCCAGGCCAGGTGTAATCTATGTGGGGGACACTGCCAGTACTCATGCTGCTGAGCGAAAAGGACATTGGTCTCTGGGCTGTCCCCAGCTAGGCCCTGTGGAACCTATGCCCAGAGATGTCAAATTTCAGGAAAACCTGATTTTCATATAACTGGCTCTCTGTTTTTTAAATGCTAGTCTTAATTCATAACACTTTAGCACATTATGTGGCCAGTGAAAATACATGTGTGAACTATTTGGCCCTTGGGATGCCAGGTTGGAATCTGTAGGTGTCCCTGGAGGAGGGGTATCCAGGCAGGAACTCTGCAGATCCACAGAGACCTCACTGGGGAATTTGAGTGCTAGAAGATAAACCCCAGAACTGACCCAGATTGTGTGAGCTGAGTAGTTGACTGAATTGGCAGATGGGCATTACCCCTTGCCTTGTCTTTTGCTTTGCCCTTTTTACGGCTAGCACAGATTTCGTGGGGTTAGATTTGTGGATTGGGGTTTTCTGAGGTTGAGGGGCAGACATCCTTCTTGCAAAGGAGGGAGGACTCCACAACTGAAGCCTTGGCTTGGAGCCTCCCTGGGCCAAGGGTCTGTGAATGGAGCTGTGAGAATACATTGTGTGGGAATACATTGTGGATGAGTCCCCAGGAGCCTGTGCATGTACAAATCATGATTCAGTTACTGCTTGATTTCATGGTTCTACTCTGTGCTAACTGGGGAAAGGAGGAGCAAGCCTGAGGAATTCCTGGAGTGGAAGACATAGTCTTCTCCATACAGCAGGGACTGCTAGATTACAGAGATGAATTACTTGCAGGTCTTTCTTGCCCTAGGACACTTTAAGATGATGTGGGGAAGTGAACCCTGAGTCCTGGAGGAGGGCTTCACAAGGCTTCTTCCCTGGCAAGCTTGGGCTGGGCAACCCAAGGAGGAGAGGGAGAATCTAGAGGCATCATGAATGTGAGCCATGGACTGGATTTGATCTTGGCAGGAAGGGAGAAGGCACTGGCAGTCTGGCACATGCTTAGTGTGGTGGGGGTGAGGAAAACATAAATGAGACCAGGTTGCTCCTCACGGACATGGTAAGAAATCAGGGTAGGGGGGATTTTAGGATCCAGTTTTGGGGGCAGGAGGAGTTCAGTGCTGCTTTATGGAAAGTAGATACTTGCTAGTTGAGGTAACTATTGTGGTGAAAAGAAGGGGGCTGAGGTGATACCATGTTGTATCTGTGGAGGAGGTTGGTTGTGGGAAAATCTGTGTGGTCCCCAACTGGTAAGCATTCCTTGTGAATAGGTCTATATGGTACTTCTCTGTGTTCTGACCTCCCCCTCCCCCAGCTGCCCCTCATCTACTAGTCAGCCCACATGCCTCCAATGATTGAGTAGGTAAAGAGCTGTCTTCTGATGGGGAAAGAGTAGCTGAGCAGGACTTGGTGGCTTCTTGGTGATGGTTCATGGCAGTCTCGTTCTTCCTGCTATGCCCACGACCTGGGTGGGTATGCTGCATGAACCTGACTAAGAGTGGCAGGGAATGAAAAATAAGACACACACAGACATACAGACATAAAACAGAAAAGCTGGGGATGGGAGGGCTGCACGTTCCTGATGGGAAACGAGAACACCTACCTGAGCCAGAGTGTTTATTTTATTAGGTCAGTACAAGGATAAGACCCAGGTAAAAGTCAAGCTTTAACAATTCTTGATGCAAGGTGAAAGGAATGAGGTTTGGTGGGCTAATTTTCCTAAGGCTAATGAAGCTTAATTACAATGCATCAGTTCTGGAATCATCAAGGCACGCAGGACACCTTATCTAAGGTATTGATTAATTTGGCATCAGGGAGTTTCCTAACAGTTCTGGTACTTTATCTGGTTATACATCAGGGGGCTGGTATGCAGACAAAGCAGGTTGTATTCTTCAAGGAGATGCGAGGACAAAGGTCAAGACACCAGGTGCTGAGAAAAATATGGTAGAAGAGGCTGTGCAAACTTCTACATGGAGAGGTTGTGCAAACTCCATTATATCCAGTCCAGGGTTCATGCCTGGTCCCCAAAACTGCTAGTCCTACTCTTGCTCTTTCCCTCTGCACAGAAGGTCTTCAGTGTCCATTACAGCCCCAATGGTGCTTAGAGATGGAAGGGTGTTGTTGATGGGAAGACAACCCGTTCTCTTCATGTTGGACTGAGAGAGCCTCTGACCTGGATACCATGAGAACTTTTGTCAGCACATTTTTTTTTGGTGGTACTGGGGCTTGAACTCAGGGCCCCACACTTGCTAGGCAGGTGCTCTATCACTTGAGCCACTCCACCAGCCCTCCATGAGAACTTTTGAAGACAGATGGCTCCTTGGGGAGGGGAGGTACCACTTGGAAGCAGGGCAGGAATTTGATCTGACTGCTATTGGCCTGGATGTTGTCTGTTTTTCCTGGGGATGGGGTCTTGGGGTTATCCCAGAAGCCCCTTGCTTATGGCTCAGATTCCATTTGGCTCTATTCTTTTACCTTGCCCTAGGCCAGATTCCTGTGGAGAAAGAAAGGCAGAAGCGCTTGGTTCTCAGATCTTGTAGAACATCATGGACACCATGTTGGAATCCAGACCCCAAACCCAGCAGAGGAGCAGCCATAATGGCCAGGAGGTGGTGTGGGTCCTCCCATTCACAGAATATTCTCTCCCCTCCCATTTCCCCTCCTGTGCCCATCACTCCTGGTACCAGGGATCTTGCATTCTCTTACTTCTCTGTGGCCCTTTTCCAGACTAGTCTGTGGTCTTCAGGCTTTGGGATGAAACTGGAGGCTGTTACTCCATTCCTGGGGAAGTATCGCCCCTTTGTGGGTCGCTGCTGCCAGACTTGCACCCCTAAGAGCTGGGTAAGTGATGGACCAGATGGGCCCTACCCTGGAAAGCTTAGGTTAGCTTGATTCTGGGAACCATTGCCCTGGGAAGCTGCTTCCTATGTGTCCTCTTCCAAGCTTGACCCTTTCCTGCCCCATGCCTCTGCTTTTATCTTAGAGAAGAATGGATGAATGGTCATCAGGTATGTTTTGGGTCTGTGGCTGACTCTCCAGCCTGGGAGAATTGGATGGGGAGCACATAGAGGGCAAAGGGAAGATAAGGTATGCCCAGGGGGTTGGTATCTTAACCAGTCCTGTTCAGTTTTGAGACATTGTCCACTCCCCAGCACTCAGCACATGTATGAAGACTTCTTGCATGCCCATGTGGTATGTTGGTGCTGAGTGGGCCCTGAGTTCTAAAGGAGATTCAGGCTACATGTTCTTCACTGTTGACAAGAAAACTCAGGGATTTTATGTCCAAGAGGGTGATCCTGTACAGGATGCAGTGCTTCCATTTTTGAGCATGGATCCCTTTTTTCCTGAGTTAGCATCAGTGTCTATGGTCAGATATTTTTTGGGAGGTCCTATGCTATAATCCTTTCCTCTGATAGGCTCAAGGGCTATCAGACAGGCACTAGAGAGGCAGGGTAGGGACTTTCTAGGCTAGTGCAAAGGCCCTCCAGGACATGCTATCCCTGCCCGCCTTGGGCAGGAGTCCCTCTTCCACAGAAGCATAACGGACCTGGGCTTCTGCAGTGTGATCCTGGTGAAGGAGGAGAATACCAGGTAGTCACAGCTGGGGGGTGGGCCAGGGTGGTAGGCTGCTGGGGCCCTGCTTTGTGGTGCCATTTTCTGCCAGTGATGGAAAAAGTACCCCAGTCCTCTGCACCATATCCAGGGAGAGAGTTGTGCTCTCTTGCAGTTCCTTCTGTGAGCATGTATGGACCACTTGCTGAGTTTCAGGCTCTTAACCTGTGCCCTCCTCAGTGGGGAGAGGTTAGGATGGGGGCACAGATGGACAGACTATTCCCCTCCCTGCTCTGTGTTAAGCCAAGCTCAGGTGTTCAGGGGTCACAGGACAGTGAGTTTCTTATGAATACACCCCCCTCTGTAGACCCTGGTGGTGGTGGTAGGGCTCTATGAACCATCTTTCCCCTTGCTCTGGGGTCTGTGTCCAGGTTTCGGGGCTGGCTGGTTCGCAGACTCTGCTATTTCCTGTGGTCCCTGGAGCAGCACATACCCCCCTGCCAGGATGCCCCACAGAAGATCATGGAAAGCACTGGGTGAGGAGGCAGATCAAGGGCTGGTCAGAACTTCTGGGATCCTTAAAGGAGTGACAAGGGCTCCAGGCCAGAGTGGTTGAGAGGGCTGGCTGGGGCAAGGATTCTGGCATGTTAGCTTTGCCTAGGCCCTTCTCAAAAGAGGGTGAAGACTCTGGCTGTGTCCTGGAGAGGTGATCTGAGAGACCTTCAGCCTACCCCAGTTGAACACCACTCCCCATACCCCACAGGGTACAGAATCTCCTCTCAGGGAGGGCTCCAGGAGGGGCTGGGGAAGGCCAGACACCTGATCTTGTGAAGAAAGAAGTGCAGCGCCTCCTGGGCCACTTCCAGGCCCCACGCCGCCCCTTCCTACTCAGGTAACTCAGTGCTGAGGAGCACAGTCCTTATGCTGAGGCTTCTGTCCCTTTTAGAGAGTGGGTGTTGGCTGGACTTAAGGAAGGGCTGCATATTCCTTCTGGGGAACTGGATGTTTACTGGAGTATGCTTCAGCCTGCTGTCACCCCCACCTTCTACATGTTCATCCAACACAGGTCTACATGCCTGTTAGATGCAGGGCACTATTCCAGGGTGAACAGATACACATGGCTGATAGAAGGAGAGAACAAGGACTGAGACTGAGAATGCCTGAAGGAAGGAGGACAAGAATTGTAGGCCATGGCCAGAAGGGGAAAAATGAATCATTGCTGGGGGTCCAGAAGTGAAGCTGCAGGAACAGTTTTGCCAGAGGGAACATGAGCTATGTCCCTGAGCAGGAAAGGGCAAGTTTGCTGGAGAAGTTGAAGTTTGCTCCAGAAGCTGGCAAGTAAGGAGGAGAGCTGTTAAGAGTTGAACTGGAGAGCTGGAAAGGACCAGATTGTACAGGGTCATTGGGCTGGATCTGTAAGTGTAGTGAAAACCAGTTAAGAGGTTTTAAGTCAGGAATGACAACATGAGTTGGGGGATAAGAGTAGAAGCAGGAAGGCTGTTTTGTTCAGGTGATACAGGATGATGGGCAGAGAGGATGGAATGACTGAAATGAGAGATCACTAATAATAACATGACCCACTGGTGGATTGGGTGGTGGTGCTGGGAGCAGTGAGGGGAAAAGAGAAATTATAGCGGTGGGCGGGGGTGTGGCGGGGGCTGTTTTTGGCCTAGTTTCTGGTGGTATGGACAGGGGTACAGGCTTGGAGACAAGGGAGTTTGACCTGGGAAGGATGTTTTGAACTTAAGAGTTTTGGTATCCAACTGAGGACTCAATTGCATGTATGGATCTGGAGATCAGAAGACAGGCTGAGGCCACAGACACACATTTGCACAGCTTTAGCATACAGTTGGTGTTTAAAGCCAGAGGATGAGTGAGTCATTAAGGGAAAGAGGGCTCAGGTTGTGTGTGTCAGGCTCACCTGTCTTAAGTGCTGAGTGGTTGAACAGGATAAAAAGAAGTTTCTGGCAATCTTGATCAGCCCTCCACTTTGACAGTGCCTTGATTTTGTTGAGGCTTCCAGTCTCTTGACCTGATTGTCTGTACCCCACCCATCAGCCCTCCATGTCTTTCCCTCCTTCTCGGTCTGACTTAGCTCCACACTCACTGTGATGCTAATGCCCTTATGAAGGAGTCTGTGGGCACAACCCTGTCTGGCTGCTGTCTTCCTCTTCCTCTGTATGCCTAAGCAGTCAAATGGTGCTAGAGGAACACTATGGGTAGACTCATTCCTTTATCAGTTCAGTTCTCACAGGGATGCATAGCACTCTCCAGGGCTCCTGTCCATACTGTTCCTTCTCAAGACTGCCCCATCTCATGCCTTATGGAGAAGTCATTAGATGTTTTTTTTTTTTTTAACCACATTTACCTGCTACCTGCATCTATACTTCTTTCCTCAATTAAAGCTAGTTAAAACAGGTCTCTGGACAAGTCCTGCTTTCCACTAGGGACTTTGCCTCTGCAGTGATCTTCTGTCCTTGGATATTGCCTCTTCCCTTTTGTTCTGCCATTCTCTGAACTTTGCAGAGACCAGGCTGGTTCTTTCTGGAAAGTCTGGGCCCTCTGGTTTCCTTTGGGGCAAATGGAGCCAGCTGCATCATGAGGTTTTGAGAAGACTGTTAGTGCCTCACAGACACGGGCTGTGGTGACAGGCTTCTTTCCAGCCCCAGTAACCCATTTCTTAGCATTCTCTATTGTTAAATGACTGTGGCCTCTCTGAGCCTCATTTTCCTCTTCTGTAAAATGAATATAGGAATACTGCCTACATAGAGAAGCACTGGGTGGCCCTCTGAGGTGCTATGGGGCCAACTCTTGTGGGGATAACCCCTGGTGAGCCTCATGCTGGTGTTGCTTCCCAGGCTGTTCAGTTGGGCACTGCTGTGGTTCCTGAACCGCCTCTTCCTGAATGTGCAGCTCCACAAGGGCCAGATGAAGATGGTCCACAAGGCTACCCAGGCAGTAAGCTAGCCCATCCTGGGAAGCAGGGAGGGGGCAGGAGCAGAGGCAAAGCTAAGCCCTAAGTCCAGACCAGCTCCATCAGCTGGTGGGAAAAATCCACTGCTCTCAGGCGACCTCCCTTCGTGTCTCACGGTCCTGTTCCCACGGGGCTTCCTCTTAACATCTTTCCATCATGGTCTCAACAAGCATTACGTCAGTGCATTACCTTAAAAGTTGTTGAAAGACTGCTCTACTTTTGGGAAATATGCTCTAAGGAATTCTTCTGCCGAGGCCTGCCTCCCTCAAAACTGCCCTGCGTCTGCAGGTACTGGGGTTTGGCTGCTTGTGTCTGCAGGGTGGGAGCAGGTGAGCACTTTCCTCTGGCTCTCCCCGGAGCAGGGCTCGCCGCTTGTCCTCCTCTCTACTCACAAGTCCCTTCTGGATGGAATCCTGTTGCCCTTCGCACTGCTCTCCCAGGGCCTGGGTGTGCTTCGTGTGGCTTGGGACCCCCATGCCTGCTCCCCTGCCCTCAGGTAAGAGCCTTGTGTCTCCAGACATGTGTATGGGAGAAGACTCATATTGGGGCAGGGGTGTGTGTGGGTGTGCTGATAGTAGCTTCCTGAAGGCCCTTTATTGGCTTCTCTGCTCCCAGTCCAGTCCCAACCTGGACTGTAGGTTCAGATGATCAGCTGTGGGTCCCAGGGTCACGGCTACCTCAGGTGTTCAGACAGAACTCAGGCTAGCCTGGATGAAGCAGGCTCTTTGTCAGCCTCCAACTTGGTCACACCTCCAGAGCCCCTTTTCTCATCAGGCTCTTTCCTATACCTACAGAGCTCTGCTGAGGAACCTTGGGGGGCTTTTCCTGCCCCCAGAGACCAACCTATCCTTAGACAGCTCCGAGGGGGTCCTTGCAAGGGCTGTGGTCCATGCGGTAAGTGCCCCCCCTCATAGTTATGTGTGGGCCATACCATAGGTACAGGAGTCTGTGCCTGTTCTGGCCTTTATGCCTGCTTCTCCCCTTTCCATTCCAGGCCATGGAGCAGCTGCTAGTCAGTGGAGAGCCCCTGCTCATCTTTCTAGAGGAGCCCCCAGGGGCCCCACGACCCCGGCTGTCAGCCCTGGGCCAGGCCTGGCTAGGACTGGTGGTGCAAGCAGTCCAGACGGGCATTGTCCCAGATGCCACCCTGGTGCCAGTGGCTGTTACCTATGATTTGGTTCCAGATGCACCATGTGACACACACCATGTAAGACCCTCCTGCCCCTAGGGAGCCCAAGTGTACACCAGCTGTAGATAGGAGGCACACTATTGTGTCCTGTGCCTGATGTGTGCAAAGGAATTTTCCTGGACTGGGGTGTGCCTCAGTGGTAGAGCACCTGCCTAGCAAGCATGAGTCCCTGAGTTTAAACCCTAGTACTGCCAAAAATAACTCCCCCTGTAGCCACCATTCTGTAGCTCTTCCCAAGCCTTTGTTAGCCTCTCATTTCATCCATAAAAGACCCCGCTAGGGTAGATTTCTTGGTTTCACGGAAGAGATAACAGGAGCTGGGAGAGGGCAAGGTCATGCTTGAAGTTGGGCATGAGATAAAGTTGAGCTGGCACCTCTGGAGAGCAGGATAGGGAGGCAGCCATCAGACCTACCAAACACCAGTGTCCCCAGTAGGCTGCATACTCAGCCTTTCCCTCCCTGCAGGCCTCGCTGCCTCTGGGGCTGTGGACAGGAGCCCTGGCTGTTCTGCGGAGACTGCGCAGCTGCTGGGGCTGCAGCCACAAGGTCTGTGTTCGGGTGCACCTCGCCCAGCCATTCTCCTTGCAGGTATGGAACCACTTGGGTAAGGCTGGGCGAACCCAGAAGACTGTATTAGGCTTCTGGCGGCCTGGCCCTCAAAGCCACTGCAGGGATAGCCTTGCCTGCCTCAGGTGGTCTGTGTACAGGTTTCCTAGGGGGTTGAGCAGACCACTCAAAAATCTTTGTTCTGGACAGGAATACACCATCAATGCCAGAAGCTGTTGGGGTGGCCGGCAGACCCTGGAGTATTTGCTGCAGCCCATTGTGCTGGGCCAATGGTAGGCACAGGTGTGTGGGTCTCTGGCAAAGCAGGTAGCCATTTAGCTATGTAACAGTCTTGCACATCAACAGCCCTCCTCACACAAGGCCTTGAGTCATCTAGTGTAGCACTAAAACCCATTTTACCTATAGTTTGAGTGTGGGGCAGGGTTTTCCATGAGCTATCCCCTGACCTGGGGCTGGGATGCAGGAAACAGCTGCACCTTGGAGAGAGCTGTAGACTTACTCACGACAGTTTTTAGGTTTGGACCCTTCATTCTTTGGTCTATGTCTGTATTCCAGTACTGTTGTCCCAGACACTGAGAAGGAGCAGGAGTGGACTCCAATAACTGGGCCCCTCTTGGCCCTCAAGGAAGAGGACCAGCTCCTGGTCAGGAGACTGAGCCGGCACGTCCTGAATGGTGAGGGGGAGCCATACCCGTGTTTTTGGGGTGGGTCCTGAGCATTCCCATCTCTTTGGGGTGTCCTGTAATCAAGGTTCCATGAGTGTCTGCACTTGACCCCACTCCCTTACACCCCAACGGCACACTGGGAATACCTGAAGAAGAGTGGAATCCTCCCCCTGCCCCTGATGAGTGGGGCAGCCAGACAGCATGAGGGAGCCGCTGAGTGAATGAACAGACAGCCTCTCGAGTCAGGGACAGGCTGTGCATGGGGTGTATGCCCAGTCTTGACTGTTTACCCCAAGTTCCACTTGGCCCTACCTAGGGCTCACCAGTCCCTTCTCAGACCATGTTCTTAGCTGTAAATGGGGATGGTGATAACTGACTGGAACAGTGTGTGTGTAAGGGGCTGAACACCATGCCTGCACAGAGTTGGCTTCCATGGAGGTGTGTTTATTAATCCCTTCTCAAGTGCCTGCGTGGCAGAGGCTGTTGGTGGGTGGGCTGGAAGGGCAGGGCCCTGAGCCTTGGCCTGGCTCTCAACAGGTGATAAATTGATAATTCTCTGGCTCTCCTCTCCCTTCCTGGGGTGGAGTTGGGGCTGTGTGGGTGGGAACCCTTGCTAGGTGAGGGAGGGGGTCAGGCTTCTGGGCCTTAACCTCTGACAGCAGTTTACCTCCAGCCAGTGTGGCAAGCTCGGCGGTGATGAGCACAGCCATCATGGCAACACTGTTGCTCTTCAAGCATTCGAAGGTAAGGCACAGTTTGGTGGGGCCTGGAGTGGTACATGGCCCTTCTGCTGAGACCTGCTTTGCCTCCAGGGTGTGGTACTGTCGCAACTCCTGGGGGAGTTTTCCTGGCTGACGGAAGAGACACTGCTGCGTGGCTTTGATGTGGGCTTCTCAGGGCAGCTGCGGTGCCTGGCACAGCACACACTGAGCCTGCTGAGGGCACATGTGGTCCTGCTGCGTGTCCACCAGGGGGACTTAGTGGTGGTGCCACGGCCTGGCCCAGGCCTCACTCACTTGGCACGTCTGAGTGCCGAGCTGCTGCCAGCCTTCCTGAGCGAGGCTGTGGGTGGTGAGTCCCAAGGACTCTGGGTAGGTGGGATGTGTGCGCAAGGGAGAGGAGATTGCTCCCTTCCTCAGGCTGGCCCCCTCCTCCACCAGCCTGTGCAGTCAGGGGGCTGCTGGCAGGTAGAGTGCCGCCTGAGGGGCCTTGGGAGCTGCAGGGCATAGAGCTGCTGAGCCAGAATGAACTGTATCGCCAGATCCTGCTGCTGCTGCACCTGCTGCCACAAGACCTGCTACTGCTGCAGGTCAGGCCTCCCTAACTCAGCAGGGCCATGGCTCTGTCCTTCAGCCTTCTGTGCTAGTGGGTCTGGCCTTACTCCATCTCTGTCCAAGCCCCTGCTCCTTGGCCTGGCTCTCCCAAGGCCACACAGGTTCTCTTCTCCCTCCAGCCCTGCCAGTCTTCCTACTGCTACTGTCAAGAGGTGCTGGACCGACTCATCCAATGTGGACTCTTGGTTGCTGAGGAGGTAGGCAGGGTGGTTAGAGGAAAGGTCCCTGCCTGGGGCCTGGCCTGCTGCAGTCCTCCACACTGATTGCCAGCTTCCCAGGATCCTCCTCTGCCCTGTGAGTGCTGTAGGATGGGCTGTCCACTCGCCCAGCAGACATGGAAGCCTGGCTTCTGGGCCCGTGTGTCTCATGCCAGGATTGGATATGTGTACCCTAAGGTTCCCTCCATACCTTCTGCCCCCACATTTCTTATCCATAGTGCTGTAACTCTTGCGGGGTAGGTGTTCACTTCCTTTCACCCCGCAAGTTGGTCCACCAGGCTTGGCTCTGGGCATCCTTTCGGACTTCCTAGATCTGCTTTTACTGGCTTCACTTGCACAGACCAGGTCTGAGGGCTGTAGGGATGATCCCTGTCCAGCCTATCAGGGATCAATGGCTCCCATGACCCCCAGACTCCAGGCTCCCGGCCAGCCTGTGACACAGGGCGACAGCGTTTGAGTGCAAAGCTGTTGTGGAAGCCGAGTGGGGACTTCACTGACAGTGACAGTGACGACTTCAAGGAGGCAGAGGGCCGGTACTTCAGGGTGTGTTGGGAGAAATCACCCCAGAAGGGAGGTGACAGGAAGACAGTCGGGAAGCTGCCCTCACTCTGGCCTGCCTCCCTCCAGCTCAGTCAGCAGTCACGCTGTCCTGATTTCTTCCTCTTCCTCTGCCGCCTGCTTAGCCCACTGCTCAAGACCTTTGCACAGGCTGCTGCCTTCCTCCACCAGGGACAGCTGCCTGATACTGGTGAGGCCCTACTTCCCTTGCAGTGCTCAGGGTAGGACTCTCTCTGCTTGTATAAGGCCTGCGTTTAGGTCTTCCTTCTTCTGCAGAGTCAGGCTACATGGAGCAGCTGCTCCAGTTCTTGCAGGCCACCGCCCAGGAAGAAGGGATCTTTGGTGAGCATGCCCAGGCTCCTAGAGGTGGGAGGGTTTGCTAATGGCTGCTGCCCTCTGCTGGCAGTGGCTGCCAAACTTCAGAGAGGAAAGCTAGTGTGCCGTCAGCCTTGGGTCCCATCTGAGCCCTGTCCCTGGGTTGTTCCTTCTTTAAACAAGAAGGAAGAGAAAAGCTGTATTCAGTGGCTCCCTTCACTTCTCTTTCCTCCAGAGTGTGCAGACCCAAACCTCGCCATCAGTGCTATCTGGACCTTCAGAGACCTAGGGGTAAGAAGGGCCCATGTTACCATCCTCCTGCTCCCCTGCCCCCAGTCTCACCAACTGGTACAGCTGCTTGAGGAAATCAGCTGTATCCCCCACTCCATGGGACTGACCTTCGTAACACCTCACTAAGGCCCTGGGATTTACCCAGGAATAGATGTGGTAATGGTAGATTGGATGTTTTCCCACCCCTCTTGGTTTCTAAACCACTGACTTTCTCTATCCCAGTGGGGTAGTAGTGGTGGGGGTGGTTTGATAGATATGAGGCAGCATTTGTACCTAGACACTAAGGCCTCAGGGGCCAGAGGTCTCACTGCAAGGCCCTGGAGGCACAGTCCCCAAGGTGAGGGCACTCAAAAGTCCCATTTTATGGCCCAGGTGCTACAACAGACAATGAGCCCTGAAGGCCCCCAGCTCCATCTGTCCCCTACATTTGCCAGCCGGGAGAATCAGGACAAGCTGGAACAGTTCATCCGGCAGTTCATCTGCAGCTAGAACTGTGGAACAGTGCCTATTCTGAGACTTCTCAGCCCCAGAACTCAGCCAGAAGACTGCAGAGGAAGCTGCATACACTCTGCAGTCTACAGTTTGATCATCTCTTGCTTTCTCTACCTATGGGTATAATAAACAAAGGAACTGGATGAATCCTTTCCCCTAAGTCCTGCAGTATCTTTTTGGTGTATTATATAGCTATTCGCTCTTTTCCCAGCTCTGTGAAAATGTTCCCTTTCACCTCCTGAAACAAGCCCTACAAGAAGACAGTAACAGAAGCCAAGCTGCAGCTTTGGCTTGACAAATTTATTGCAGGAGCTCTACCTTCTTCCCCCCCACTACCTAGGCATGGCCTCTGAGTGGTGGTAGGGGGTAGTGGCTGGATCAGGCTGAGCAGGAGTGGATGCCCCATTTTAAGTGCAGGGCTTGCAAGGAAGCCATCACACCACCTTGTTGATGATGACACCAAGTTCTTCAATCTCACACTGGACTTCATCACCCTTCTGCAACAGAACAGGCCACGAGGGTCTCAACCCTTTGCTCTGGTACACAGATGTACACACACATGGGCTGCACCAACCCTGCCAGGTCTTCTTAGTCCTTATCCTTGCCACCTCTCCTCCTCTTAGCTACCCTACCTGGAGAAAGACAGGTGGCTTCCTAAACACACCAACACCTGGGGGGGTCCCAGTCAAGATGACATCCCCTGGGTAAAGGGTGACAAACCTAGGGCAAAGCAAAAAGGGCAAAAGGGTGTGGCTTGGCCTCCAGGTGTGCAGGTGGGTGGGGCTGGCCACGAGGGGCTCTACCTACTTACCGGGAGACCCAGGCTATCAGCTCTTCGGTCTTAAACACCATCTGGTTGGTGTTGCTGTTCTGGACCACCTGCCCATTCACTCGGCAGTAGATCTTTAAGTTGTGTGGATCTGGAATGCAAAATAACACCATGGACTTATTCTTGTTTTCCTTCAATGTCCTCCCTCCCACCTAGAAAGATCAAACTGTTAGGAGGCCTCAAGCTTTACTGTGTGAAGGGGACCGGTCTTCTCGCTGCTCAGCACTCTACCCTGGGACTTCCTGTATAGACACTGCCCCACCCCCGCACCCCATCATCCCCAGAGCACCAGGCAGTAGCCACTTGGGTGAGTGAAGGAGGGATATTCCTGACTCTAAATGGGAAGAGAGAAATGGCCAGGGCTTTTGCCTTTAAAAATGAACACCTGGGTACAACAGGGTAACAACCAGCTCTAAAAATGACATCAGGTAACAGCTCCAGCAGGGACAGTCATGCCTTACGTAACTGACACTGGCAGACAATGGTCTACCCAAAATAGTGTCCTGGCTAATCTGCATCTTTGTCTTCCTTGAGGGTGGTCTTCATGATCTGCACGCAAGGTAGGTTGGGACAAAGGATAGTTTTCCTGACTGCACAGCCGTGAGTTACTGCTGCTCTCCTGGAGGCTTACTCACATGACTGTGCCACACCTTCATGGCTGTGCTCTACCCTCCTGGCTCTCTTGTCCTGTGGCTGGTGCTGTTCTGTATACACAGTGGCTGGGTGAGGTCCTGCTGGTGCTCTCACGTCTCTTTATTATCAAAAACAAATTCGCTCTATCAGAGCCATTCTTCATGATACTCAAGGGCCAGGTTTACTTTCAACCTAAGGACTGTTCTAGACAATGACAGCTAGAGGAAGCTTGACCTACCTATCAGTGTATACTATTCTTTATAATTCATTTTATGCAGTTTTGCAACCACTGTAGCTGTATTCCCTCTAGTTCCTTGGGGGAACTCATGGCTGAGGCTGGGCCACTTGCTCTCTGTGAAAGCTGGGGAGGGTGGAGCTCCACATATAGCTATATCCACATTCCTGCTCCCTGGAGCACTGCTTTCTCTTTACACAGAGGTATTGCATAAAAGTAGGCACAAGTGGCAAAGACCAAGGACCTACCTGCTATGCTGTCCCTAGTAACCAATGCAGGGCCCAGGGGGCAGAAAGTGTCGAAGGTTTTTCCCAGCAGCCATTGCCTCCCATTGCGTCTCATTTGCCAGTCTCGAGCGCTCACGTCATGAGCCACAGTGAAGCCAGCCACATAAGCCAGGGCATCTGTAGCCTACAGGAGCAAGGGATTTGGCCAGGTAGGTTACATCACAGGTGTGACACCAGCATCTAGAGAGGATCTCAAAGCCACTATCCCACATTAACAGCTAGAGCTAGCCAAAGGTGGTAGATGAGGGACTGGACAATATCTGGGGGAAGTTAGGTGCTGACCACTTCCCAGCGCCTGGGGCTACCAACACCACCGCTGGGGAGTACAGTCAACACCAGCAGAGGCCAGAGCCAGGGCCTCTGTTCCACTGTAGCCCAGGGCCCCCCTTCCACCTCACCTTGATGTGTTTGCCTTTCTTTCCAATGACCACAGCTAACTCCACCTCCCAGTCAACTTCCTGTAGAATGCAAGAGGGACAGTGAGCTTTAGTGGCCCTGGGGCCTGTTCCTGAGCAGAGGGGCTGCACCCCATGCTTTAGACCCCAACCTCTGACAATGGGCCTCAGTTGCCCTAACCAGAGTCAAGTGAATCACAGGGGAGTCCCATAAGCTGACCATAAGCTCTGGTCAGGGGCAGGTGTCACCACTGGACATAAGCACAACTGACCAGTGAGACTAGAAGAGCAACACATGTCTGGGAATTGAGTTTAAAAGCCACTCTTGACACCTGCAATACCAAGTAACAACAGCTAGCAATATGTAATCCTACTGTGTGCCAGGTACTATTAGTATGCTATAATGTATTAATTCACCTTAATGATAAGATCAACACCCCAGAATCAAAGTGAAAAGGGGGCTTAAATAGGCAATTCACAAAAATACATATGGCTACAGAACAAATGTTCACATTAGCAAAATGTAATTTTACCTTTCCAGTTGGCTGCTGTTTCTAATAGTAATGTCCACAACTGGAATAAGTATATCTGACACCCAGGTACTGGTCTGTAATATCAATTCCCACTGAAAGGAACTAGGTTCCTTGGGGGAAATGGCTAATTCCAAGTCCAAGACAGAGTACAGATGAGCCTGGAATGAAGGCCAGAGAGCAAGGAAGTACTCAAAGAGGAGCATGGGAAGCTACATAATAGCCTCCACTGCCAACCTGAAATAATCAGAAAGAATGTAAGTTATGGATTATAACCAGCTGAATAAAAACCAGGAATTCACAGGTATATTAAAGGTATGGGGCAGTTTTTCTTCAAAAGAGTGACAGCTGTTAAATGAAAGCTTAGAAGAAAAATTATCCATCTCCAACTCCCAATGCAATAATGGATTCAGGTAAGGATGACCATAGGTTCCCTGGTTGAAAAGCAGTGGGGCAATAGACAATGTATGATTCCAAACTACCACCCATAGATTGCTTATTAATTATAAGGAAAACATTTTACAGTGGAGAGATCTTACTGAACATTAAGTAAAACAAGTGGTCACGTTGTAGGACCACTTGTATCCCATCGCCTCCCAATGGGATACAATGGGTGTACCCAACACTTCCTGTGTAGAGCTCCTGATGAAAATGCTCAACCTGGTAAATGTCACAGTGTACCCTCAGTACAATAATACGATTAAAAAAAAAAAAAGAAAATGCTTAACATGAATCTAATGAGGAAATGACAAAACTAGAATGTGGGATATTGTATGAGAAAGCTTGATCTTCAAAATTATTATGAAAGGTAAGAAAGGGCAAGGGGATTGTTTGAGATCAGTAAACTATGGCCAGTTTATGGCCTGTTTTTATAAATAACTTTAAATGGAACCCCACGTGTCATCCTTGGCTGCTTTCAAACAAACAGCATAACTGAGTTATTAAAACAGAGACTACATGATACTTAAAGCCTAATAGGTACTAACTAGCCTTTAAGAAAAAGCTTATAGACCCCTGTTCTAGATTAAAGAGGCTAAAGAGATGTACCAGCTGGGTGTTGGTGGCTCATTCCTGTAATCCTAGCTACTTGGGAAGCTGAGATTGGAGGATAATGGCTTGAGGCCAGTTTGAACAAACAGTTTGCAAGACCCCATCTCTGAAACGGACTGGAGATGTGACTCAAGTGGTAGAGTGCCTGTTCTGCAAGCTCAAAGCCCTGAGTTCAAAGCACACCAAATACAATGTGCTGTCTTGATTGATTCTGGATCAACAGACAAAAAGTAACCAAATTAAGTCATCTTTGGGGCAACCATGTATATTCCTGACTGGGAACTGGGGCAACTGGCCTATATATTAGGTATTATTTTCATGTTAATTTTCTTAGTTGTGAGAACAGTATTGTAGTCATGCAGGCCATTGGCCTTACACTAAGGAGAAGCATGCTTAAATTTTAGGAGTGAATTGTCTTCATGTCTGCAACTTACTTCCAGAGGTGCTTCCCCCACAAAAACTGTATGTAGTTCCATAGAAAGAGAAAGAAAATATGGCAAAGTGTCAACAATATAGAGCTTGGGGTCTGCAGAAGTATGTGCATGTTCACTGTACTATTTTTTTCAACTTTTCTGTTATTTCAAAAACACTTCTAAATTAAAACTTTGCAAGAAGAATGAAATAGTGTTAGTAAAGGTACATATGGTGCTGGTGGATGTATAAAATTGCTTTTGTACCTCTTTTAAAGATCAACTTAGCAGAATTTCTCCAAAGTTTTGAAATGTTGCCTACACTTTGCAACAAGACATTCAAAATGAAAGAGTTCATTAAAAGGAAATAATGATGTATGAATAACTGCATTGTCTTTTCTATGTAAAGACATTTACTGCGACACTATACAAGCCCAAAGCTGAAAACAAGTCCAGCCATCAGAGACTAATGCGGAGATGTGGCCATTAGGACAACAGAAAACCACATGGCAACCTAAAATGTGTCAGAGACAATGTTTAATGGCATGAAAAAATATTCTTAATGGAGTCTTCAGTAATAGGTAAGGTGTGTATGTTTGTGTGTGAATATATATATATATATATATAAAATATATAAAACACTGGGAAGATATACAGCAAAACAAACATTAGTATCAAAAGACCTGGGCAGTGAGAATATAGGTGGCTAATTTTTTGTTTATTTGTATTTTATTAATATACCTTCAGATTATAAAATTACTCTTTTGAAATCAGGAAATGATATAAATTTCTTTTTTTCTTTGAGGGCAGTGTTATTACTGTACAATCTCCTGTAGTTCTGTTTAGCACACTATTGAGTGACAGGATTCCTATAGGCTGAATGCATCCTTGTGATAGGCCCCAGTCAACTTGGGACAGTAGTGAGGACACTGACCTTGCTATTTGGTGGGAGGACAATCTCATCGTAGGGCCCCACAATGGAGCTGGAAAACTTGCTGAAGATGATGGGCTCCTTGGGCACGGGCACATTCTGTTCTTTGCAGTGGTCCACATAATTCATGCCCACACACACCACTTTGTCTGGCCTCGTGACAGGGGCCAGCAAGGTCACCTCTGACCATGGGAGGACTGGCAGCTGAGCAGCCTGGGCCCTGCAGAGACCAAGGAGGAGAGGGACTGGCTGAGAAGAGGTCGACAATCCTAAGGCAGGCTAGCAGCAGCTGAGTTTTAGTTTTTAAAATCTATTTTTTAGATCTATCAACCATCAGAGCCAGTGTAAAAATCAAACGCAGCTACTGTCCTTTGTCATCAAAGCAGTACTTGTTATTTATTCGGTTTTTATTCCCCTACCTCAGGTAATTCATGTCCACGTAGAATTCAAAAGGTACAGATAGGAATAAATGGAAAGGCCTCTTTCACTCCTTCTTGGTCACCCATGCCCTGTCCTGGAAACAACAACTGTGTCCTGAATAACTCTTAACAGCTACTCTGTAATATGCTTCTCCTCCTACTTTTCTGTATGCAAATGATAGTGTACTATATGCTTTAAAAAGACTTAACATATTTTGATGATCTCTCCATAACAATATATAGAGTATTCTTTTTGTTGTTCTCCTTTATGGCTACATATTACTACACTGTAGGGACACACTCAATTACCTGATGAGGAGCATGGAAGTTGTTTCCAATCTTTTGGGACTACGACAGTATGGGGACATATTGTCACTGACACTGTGTACTGTCAAACAATTCTATTTTTGCCAGTCTAGTAAGTGAAAACAATTTCTTAAACAGATTTTGATTTATTGCTCATCAACCCTTTAGACCAGATTGCACAGCACTCCTGGCTTCAGGGACACTCCACTTAATAGAGCCTAAACTCAGGAACCAGTCATCTTGGAGAAAATCTCTTTGCAGTCCAATCTCCTCTATGAGCCAGGAGTCTAAATCACTCTTCCAGCTTCCCAAGATGCCTTCCTCTTTAAGACCCTGGTCCCAGACCCCTCAGGCAGGCAGACTTTACCCCCAGAGAATGCAAAATAAAGTCATGTTCTGGCTCTACCATCAAATGTGTGGCTTTGGGACAGTTAATCAGCCTGCCTAGTCTCAGTTTCCTCTTCTGTAAATTAAAGATGTTGCTACATAAGATTTCTAAGAACAGGTGAGAAAGGAAAGGTGGGGTTTCCCCTGCTCCTTTGCCAAAAAGCAACCAGCTGGTTCTGACTCTGAGTGGGGAGGAGAGGAGGGGGAGGGGGGTTAGAGCATTGGCTGCAGGGGATGCTGTCTGCTGACTTACCTTCTTGCCACTGACAGGGTGGCCTCTCCCTCTTCCAGGAATTGTATCATTGTCTTGGGGAGTGTAGGGTCATAGGTGTTGAGGTCAATGATCCCCTCACCGTTCCCTGACTCCAATCCCAGGTGAGGCCCCACCAGGTGGGGTGCCTGAAACTGCACCAATCTCATGTCTCTGGAGGGTTGAAAGGGCCCTTTCCGAGCCTGCAGCAGAGCAGTGAGCAACCTCCTACCTGAGACCAGCATCAGAGCCTATGGAGAAAAATAGCAGGAGCCAGGGACAAAAGTAGCTCAGAATCATCACAAGAATCCCTAGAGTTCCTCAGGCTGTGGCCCAAGCCCCTTTGTTCCATCAACCATTCCTGGAACACTATATAGGAAATGTTTCATATAGGTCATTTCACCCTGCTATTCGTCATATAGTCAGAGAGAACAGAGTGACTACTTTATGTCAGGCACTAAGCTAGCCCAATGGATTTCAGACTTCCTTCAAGCAGTGTTTTCTGAAAGTTTACAATGTGCCTGACACTGCTGTTGGCATTGGGGAAATAGTGTAGGCCAAACTTAGTCCTGCCATCCTGCCTGAAGGGGAGACAGATGTGAACAACTACTGTAAGAGATTCAGCCATTGAGACTAGTGCCATGGTGATAATCTGGGCTCTGTCCTGTCTAACTCCCTGAGGAAGTGCTATGAGCTGAACAGGGTTAAAATGAACAGGACAAAGAATTAGCCATGAATCTGGCAAGTGGCCACTGCTGAAACTGGCGTCAGAGCTGTCTCCTGAAATTTTTTAAATGCTAACTTGATCCTATTGCCCTCCACTTAAAATATTTTCCACTATTCACATGCTCAAGTTAAAACCTCTACCAGGCGGCCCTGACCTTCTAGGAGCAGCCCTCCAACCTGCTTCTCCAGATAGGAGCACAGAGTCTGCCTATGGGGGAAGAGGCTGTAGACAATCAGTGGGGCCTAGGCCTTACAGCATTGCTTACTCTCTCCCCCAGGTTCAGAGGCCACACCTGGCTCTTTAATTGCTGAGTCTACAGTGCTAGCTCTGTGACCGGGGCACAGAAGGCTTAGTGACTCTTTGTTCAATGAACAAATGAGAGAAAAGGGCTTGACTTTTCACATCTTCAGAAAGTGTAGTGATTGCCAACTTTGGGAGAATGGCTGGCAGTGCCTTCCCTTCTAAGACTACCTGGAAAACATCAATAGGGATCAGGTCCTGTTTTGAGTTCCAGGTTTCATTTGAAGACAAACCCCATTCTGATATTTTTGTGATGCTGGGGATCAAACTCAGGACCTGGCACATGCTAGGCAGGTGTTCTACCACTGAGCTGTATCTTCAGCCCTGCCTGTTCTCTTATTTTGTTCTTAATCTAGGTCTGGTCTTCCATTCCTTACCACACAGTCCCTCCCCTGCACAGTACCTTGCTTTTAAAAATAGCCCTTTATGCTAAAAAAATGCATGGATAGATGTCTGAGCCCCAGATTCTTGGTGTTCACCTAGCTAAGCCAATTTTCCCTGTCAAGTTAAAGGCTCTTTAGACTTATATCACCAGTGCTGACTTGCAAGTTTGGCCAGAAAATCAGGGACTTTGTGTTTCTTGTCCTGTTGTCTTATACAAGCACTAACTATGCCACTGTCAAAAGGCTGTTTTAGCCAAAGTGCATGCGTTCAGACACTCCACACACTAAGATAACAGTAACTGCTCCCACTGAGAGCCAGGTATTACGTTGAGTGTTCTACATATAATGTCTGATTTAATTCTCTTGACAATTGTGGATGATAGGTATTGTTAGTTCCATTTCACGGATGAAAAAACTAAGGCTTAGGGGAAGTAAGGGTTTTGCCTAAGGTCTAAAGGTCATACAGCTAGGGAAGAAAGAGTTGGTATCTGAATCCATGTCCAGGTGATACTAAAGTCCACGATTCAGAAGCAAGGTGTTGTGCAACGAGATAATCTAGCTTCAACCCTTTCCACTCCCCCCCTCCAGGGCACCACCTCTAACAGATCCTCCAGAGGCCCTCACTGCCATCAGCCAAGCCTGTGGGAGTCCGGTGACTGCTTCCTCAGATAGGGCTGAGCACCAGTTCTCCTAGATAACCCCTGGACCCAGAGGCAGGCACTGCAGGTTCATGCCACCTGTACAATTCCCTAAGGTAGGGCGCCTCCACTCTACAAAAGGGAACACTGAAGCTTCGCGGGGGAAAATCACCTGCCAGCGTGGCCCCGGTGCTTCTACAATAACCATATGTCTCACAGTCCGAGCTCAAGCCAACTGTCCAAGGGGCCAGTTGATCTTTAAGCAACAAGGACGCGACAGGAGGTGAAAACCGCACAAGTATGGCAGCCTGGGGCTTAGGTTTGCCCGTGAGACGCTTTCCCAGCGTCCAATCTCCTGGAATCTAAATCGGTCCCTCAGTTTCCTACATGTCAGTTCCGCCCCATTGTGCATGTGGTCGGAAGCTGCTAGTCACCTGGGTCCAATCCTGCCCTCCACAGGAGACACCCTCCCAGGCTATCCCAGACCCCCTCTACCTGCCTGGCGCTCTGTGCAGCTGGGGTAGGATCTGCGGAGCTGGAGGTCAAGGAGCACCACGGTGCTCCACCAGCACCAGTGATGGCGGGCGCCAGTGACCCAGAAAACCCTAGCTAGCCGGGGAATTACATTCGCAGCCGACAGGCGCAGCTTCTCTCGGTAAGACGCGCGGCGAGCAGGCGCGTCCCGATGACGTCACGGGGCCTCGGCCAATGGCGCCCGCCTCTTCCTGCGCCCAATCGCTCAGGGGCGGGCTCTGAGCAGGCTCTTGGTGGTGTAGCGGGAGGGAGGTGTCTGACGTCTGGGAGTCGTCGAGGCGCGGATTCGGAGATTAACACTCTTAGGGAGACCCTAGGCTTCCTGAAGTTTTGTGCCCTGTGGGCGCTTCGCTGCCCCCCGCCAGATCCAGGCCCTGCTGTTGGGCCAGGCAGTGTTTAGTAGTTGGGCAAAAAGTGGTGGCGACTGAGTCCTAGCGCGCCGGTGGACAAAAACAAAAAAAAAAAAAATTTTTTTTTTTTTGGTCTTTTGACAGACCTATTGAGGAGAGATATGGTTGCATCTGTTTTACTCATGAGGAACCTGAGGCCAGAAGTGTTTTCCCCAAGATGACAGTGGAAGTAGGAGTAGTGGAGCCGGACTCACCACCCCAATTCCCGCCATTTCCACCCACTCTTCCCAGGCCTCTGTCTTAGGAAGACTAGTGAAGAACGAGAAAGATCAAGCTTTACTTGTCCCACGAAGAGGTCTGGGCCTTATCTAAGGCCCAGAGGAGCATGGCCAGGCTGGCATTGAGAATTCGACTCTGGCCCCTCCTCCCAGAAAAGGCGTCTGGGGAAGAGTGGTGTCCGTGAGAGCAATGGGAATTTGGTGTGTGGCAGGTGTGTCCAGGGATGCTCAAGAGGAAGAACCAACAAAGCCTTAGTGATGATAGGAAGTGGAAGTGAGAGAGAAGGAGGTACCAGGTCAGCTCTGTGACTAGCTGGTGGAGATCTGTGCCATTCATGGAGACAGGACTCTGGGAGGGGCAGCAGGCCCGCGGAGAGAATGATAAGCTCAATTTTGGATGAGCTGCATAGAATGTGCCTGTAGAACATCCGGAGGGCACTGAAGGGTGTGGATGGAGACAAGGGTCAGGAATTTGGGACTCCAATCTGCCTTAAAGCATAAAAATAGAAATGGAGCTCAAGGCGGGGGGGAGGTGGCTAAGATCTCACCCATGTATAAACATTTCGCCAAGCTGTAGGTCTCAAAGATGTTCTGAAAATACAAGCTGTGGACAGAAGGAAATATTTGCAAAGCTTATAAAGGATAAAAGACTTGTGTCCAGAATATTTAAAGAATTCTTAGAAGTCAATAGATAGATAGAATCAATGCAACAGCTTGTTGGACAAAAGATTTGAACAGATATTTTGCCAAGGAGATAGAGACACAGAAAATTAGGACAGGAAAATATGTTCAACATCATTAGTTATCACAGAAATGCAGATTTCAGCACAACATGAAACTAGAATGGCCAAAAAAGACTGATTATGCCAAGTATTGGCAAGAATGTGGAGGAACTGGAACTCTCATAGCCTGCTGATGGGCTTATAAAATGGTACAGCCACTTTTGAAAATCACCTGGCAGATTGTGTGTTTGTGTGTGTGTGTGTGTGTGTTTCTGGAATTTGAACCCAGGGCCTTTCTTGTGCATGCCAGATAAACATTCTACCACTGAGCTACATCCCCAGGCCTTGTTTTTTTGAGATAAAATTTCGATATGTAACCCAGGTTGGTCTCCAACTTGTGATCCTCCTGCTTTTGCTTCTCAAGTGCTGGGATTACAGATGTGTGGACCATACCCGTGACAGATGTTTTAAAAAGGCTAAACAGGGCCAGGGGCAGTGTTTCATGCTTGGGAGGCAGAAATCAGGAAGATCAAGTTTCAAGGCCAAGGGGAAAAAGTTATCAAGGCTCCCATTTCACCAAACAACCTGGGTGTGGTGATACACACCTGTAATCCAAGCTAGGCAAGAGGCATATGTAGGAGGATCATCTGGTCAAAATGCAGGAGACCCTAGGTGAAAAACAAATAAAGCAAGAAGGGGTAGGTGCATGGCTCAAGGGGTAGAGGACCTGCTTAACAAGTGTAAGGTCCTGAGTTCAAATCTCAGTATTGCCAAAAATAAAAAAAATAAGATTAAATGTACAATTACCATATGATCTAGCTGTGTCTCTCCTGGGTGCTGAGAATATTGAATTTTACCTAAGCCTTTTGCTCCTAGAAATAGTGAAGGCTAAGGAATCCTTCCACTGCTTTGTGAGAGTGGGGCATATGCTGTGGACAAGACTCCCTGTGCTCCCTGACAAGGCCAAACATAGACCATCTAAATTCCTATTCTGTGCCTCTTAAGTGATTGGCTGAACTGCTTGTTCCCACTGATCAACCAGGTCAAAATGTCTGTTAAGAAAACCTTGGGTCAGGCTCTCACTTTGGCTCACCCTCAGCCTGAGCCAGCACACAGCCCACAGTGAGGAGAGGGCTGTGCTTCTTCTCCCATACCTTGCTCTGTGCATGTCTTCATCTGTATTTTTTGTAATAACATTTACAATAAAGCAGTAAATGTTTGTTTCCTTGAGTTCTGTGAGCCACTCAAGCAAAATTAATCAAACCCGAGGAAGGGGTCATGGGAACTCCAATTTATAGTTGGTTGTTCTGAAGCACAAGTAAAACAACTTGGGCTTGTGATTAGCATCAGAAGTTGGGAGAGCAGTCTTGGAACCTGAGCCACCAACTTGTAGGGTCCAACACTATCTTCCGGTAGATAGTGACAGAACTGAATTAAGTTAGAAGACGCCCTGCTGATTGACCACCATTGAAGAATTGCTTGCTCGCTTGGTGTGTGGGAAGAAATACATCTGGTCTCAGAAGTGATTTGTGTTGTGAGCATATGGTAGGGGAAACTGAGTCAGAGTTGGTTTTCCATAATATCATCAGTTGCCCTGAATATTCTGTTGCCTAAAATATAAGATTAAGTCCTAACAACTTGCATATAAAATGAAAATGGAAAGGAGAGAGAAGAATCAAGTTGTTGGTATACCAATGTAAACAGGCACATGAAACAAATTGAAAATATGCAAAGCTAGTACAGCCCTCATTTCTATATTAACCACAAGACTATAATTGATATTGATGACTTCCTTCTTCCACTGTGCATTTGTATGTCCCCTGCCTTCCACGAGAACCTCAGCTGCGTGGGATTCTTTACCTAAAGAAGTGACATAAACGTTCATTCCTAAAAGGTTGAGTCATCAATCATTATGCCTTTTTTGGTTGCTGAATCTTTTCATTCATCTTTACTGTTGGGCATGGAGGTACTAACAGTGCCCATAGAATGGAATGTCCCAGGTTCCAGACATTGCCATTCTTGCTTCTGTTGTAGCAACCATATTCCCCCTTGGGAATCACAGTTCTCCTTTGATAACCAGGATCAATCATTTTGGCCTGTAGATTAACCTTCTTTCTTCTCCTTCTCCTTCTTTTTCTTCCTCCTCCTTCCTTCCCTCCTTCCTTCTTCTTCTTCCTCTTCTTCCCTGTTGACTCAGTGGCATGAGATGCCAAAAGTGGTCAGAAGGCAGATCTTGTAACTCAGGGGAACCATGATTGTGTCCCTTGGTGGAAGGGACTCTCTAAGTATGAATATCTCCAAACCAGTAGAGCTCAGAGTGGTCTAGAGAGGAAGCAAAAATTTCTGGGAATGAGTTATTGGATATAATAGAGAAGCCATTCCCACTTCTGACTGCCTGGGAGTCAAATAATGGGCTCTGATTCAAATCATATACTGCACTCTGTAAGCCATAACCTCACCCTTTCAAGGTGCTGTCTCCCAGCTGGCACATAACTGAAACTTCAGTTGAGTCAAATGCCTCCAGAAGATGGGGCAGGGGGTAAAAGAATCTCCTTACATGTGATCTAGCATAAGACCGCACTTCCTTTGCTGGACAATGAGATTCAACACTGTGCAGAATCCCAGGACAGTGGGTCAGGCGTTCTAATCCACGGATGATGTAGGCAGAGCATTATGGGCAGGAAGGGCACAGCCATATCTACGATATGTGCCCTTTAGGGAAAATCTCTGCCCCTTCCGTGATGGAGGAGGTCCAATGTAACCATCCTTCCTCCAGGTAGCTAGCTTGTCCCTGTGGGATGTGGTGCCATATTGGGGACTGAACATTAGGGACTTGGTAATAGTGTTGGTCAGGACAACATTTGGAAGAAGAAGTTCACGTTGCTGAGACCAGGCATAGACTCCATTCCCGAAACCATGGTCACTTTGTTTCCAGTCCTTGAACAAGCCATAGTGTGGCTGGGGAAAGGGGCTGATTTGCATCCAGAGGCTGTCATTTTTTCCACCTGATACTGAGTGTCTTCTCTGCAATGGATGCACTTTGGTGGACACTCACATGTACACAGATACTTTCTCTTACCACCTGTGCCCATTCAGAGCAGTCCATCCACGCAGATCCATTCACACACCACTCCATTTTCTCATCACCATTCCAAATCCACACCAGCCAGCCAAACCACGAGCAACTGTGCATGATTCAATGTAGATTTTTACTTTTGTCCATTTCTCACTGCAGGAAGACAATGTACTCTCAAAGTTTTTTCCACTGAGAGGACCACTGGCCCTCACAGTCATCCCTGAGTGGAGTCATCATGCTGCAGCCAATAACTTTTAGGTGGTATCAGTATCTCCTACAGACCCATCTATAAGTCATACTTGAGTTTTTCCTTCCTCTTCCTACATGAACTTGAACACATCAGAAAGCCATAGGCATGGATTGAGGGAGAGGAAACAATGCAACGGTTTTAAAGGAATTGGAGTGGTACCCTCCTCTGTCTCCTGTCTACCACTTCCACTTGTTCCACTTGTCTAACTTTATGATGAGGCAAATCTGACAACACCCAGGTGCTTTTAGGAAGCTCATGCCAGACAGCCACCTAATTTCTCATGGTTAGGTGTTCAGTGTCTACTAAAGCCCAACAACAAACCACTGTTTCTCCAAAGGAGAACTGTTATCTTGAGGAGAGAGAACAGACTGGCTCCAAAATCCTAGTGATATGGACTGTGATGATTCTCCTACTGGTGCTCTCGAGACGTTCCTTATT